AACATAATAAGAGCACTTACTCCTTAGAACTTGAGATAAGGGATTAATCAATATACCCTTCCAAATATAGGTAGTGCAGATCAGAACATAAAAGGAAAAAGATAAAAAAGATATAGTGTACTTCTGTAATAACAAAGTAAATAAAATAAATGACCCATCAGCTCACAAAGAGGGAGCAGTAAAAGTGTGCTCTAACTTGGACAGCCCAGATATCATATATGCAGGACCACGATGTAACAGGCAGGACGGCAGCTGAATACAATTGAATCCTTTATTGGTAACAGTAAAAGCTCTTTCCCTGTATTATAGTGTTTAGTTCTCAGACCCTTCTGACACTTGGGATCCTCGGGAACTGGGACACTTTACTTCTCTTTCAAGAACGTTTCGCCTGGGCGGCTTCTTCAGATCACATCCTGGGTCTGCCGTCTGTCTGAATTTATATCCATCCTCATAGATGTAATTGATAGAGTCACATACTGATTGGTCCTAATATAAAACTCATTACCAGTCTTTATGCAAATAAGATAAAAGGCATATCACCTAAATGTCTCTCTTTGAAAGTCCATGTAACCTTAGAATATATAATAGATCTTTATGAATACACAAATACATAATCTGAGTCTACCAAGAACAAAAAATGAGTCTTTGACGTTATGTAATAATTTAAGTAGTCATAAAACCACAGAGTAATGATGTCAAAATCATCACAAATTCTAGTTAACTATCTATGGTGTGGACAGTAATTGTAATTAAAAACATCATTTAGGCAAGAGGTCCACTTGGCGGTCTAAAAGCTGAAATTACATCAAATTATCAGATCACAAGATGTGGATCTGAACAAATAAAACATACCTCCTCATCCCTAACTGGATCGAAAAGACTGAAAGAAAGAGGGTGTGCAAGAAAGATATGTTTTGGTTTATAACCTGTTGTTAGGGTGTTGCAAGTGACACTGGTGGCCCAAGGAGGCAAACAGGAGGACCCAAAGAAAGCTACTACACAAAAAATAGGCTGAGAATCTATCTCCGTGAGATTCAGAAAGACGCGAAGCCTTAACCCACATATTCTGAGGACAAAAGGCACACACCCGGACTTCTTCTTATGAGATTCTATTCGAGTTTTGAACTTGCCCCATACATCCTTCATAAATTCCGAAGGACATCCTAGGACTGGACCTCAACTCATCGTGTTCATCTGGTAACATATAATACAAAGGGAAATGACGATAATTCTGGGAGATCTGCCGGACTTTAGCATAGAAATGGCCCTACTGCATTACACAGAAGGCTCGATAGCCCAATACAAGCGATCGATATTAAGGCACCTGCTCAACGCAGCAAAAGCAGCTATACCAATCAAATGGAAACAGACCCAACCACCGACCGTCACGGAGTGGCTACAGAGAGTTGAGGAAATACACACGGCCGAGGCGCGGTACGCAGAACTAATAGGAAGAAGCACCAAGCACGTCGATATCTGGACCCCATGGTATCTATACCTCTCACGTCCCAGAACTAGGGAGGCGCAGCACACATCATAACACCGGGGGTTTGAGAGGACCCGGCGCACCCCGACACGTGCTGTCCTTCATATCTCTATCTAATGCTCATTATTTGTATCGTTATTCAAATTGTTCATCTTATTTCTATGCCCATGTGCACTGTTGTGGTGTATGTATGTATTCTGTACTCAGCTGAACGACAAATAAAGAATAAAAAAATAAATAAAAAAAAAATGACCAGTTTGATACTTTATAGTGTCTTTGCGATTGCACTTTCACAAAATTCATTTTCACTTTATGTATATATATATATATATATATATATATATATATGTGCTACTATTTAAAAAGGCACAGCACACTTTTTTTCTTATATATTTTTATTTTGAGGAAACCTAACGCACAGACAGGACACAACAGACAGAATTGCAATCCCGGTCCTTAGCATAGCCGGGCTTTGCAAAAGAATAGTCAAAGCAGGCCAAGGACAAAGGGAAATAGAGAGACTGAATACGAAGAGACAAACCAAGGTCAAAGGGAAATAGAGAGGCGGAATACGGGGAGACAAACCAAGGTCAAAGGGAAATAGAGAGACGGAATACGAAGAGACAAGCCAAGGTCGAAGGGAAATAGAGAGACAGAATACGAAGAGACAAGCCAAGGTCAAAGGGAAATAGAGAGACGGAATACGAAGAGACAAGCCAAGGTCAAAGGGAAATAGAGAGACGGAATACGAAGAGACAAGCCGAGGTCAAATGGAAATAGAGAGACGGAATGCGAAGAGACAAGCCGAGGTCAAAGGGAAATAGAGAGACGGAATATGAAGAGACAAGCCAAGGTCAATGGGAAATAGAGAGACGGAATACGAAGAGACAAGCCGAGGTCAAAGGGAAATAGAGAGACGCAATACGAAGAGACAAGCCAAGGTCAATGGGAAATAGAGAGACGGAATACGAAGAGACAAGACGAGGTCAAAGGGAAATAGAGAGACGGAATACGAAGAGACAAGCCAAAGTTCGGTAACCAATAAATCAGATAGAGTATAACGTGCTGTTGGGCTAAAAAAAGACCACAACAGGGCACTGAGGCAAGGGAGAGGTTAGCTTATATACACACAGGATGTGTCTGATTGGCTAACCTCCAATTAGTGTTAACCACAACACGTGGGAGGTGTTTCTTCCTTCCCTTGTAGTCTCTGAGGTCATCTGAGGTCATCACTGTGTGCCGGGTCACATGACCAGGTCTGGCACACATATAAGGATGCTGCTCTGGAGTGTGCAGCATCAGAAACACAGCGGCGGGGACAGCCACACACCCTGGACAGGGACCAGATGGAGCCTCACGGAGGCAGGGCACCTGACACATTGGGGTAATAAGTCCAACTTAATGGTCTTAATGACCTTAATTACTACGTTAGAAGATTCTGCTAAAGTATGAGTTATAGCATGAACCTTGCAGGTACATTTGTTATCCTTCATGGGGTAGTAGTAAGGCAATTATTTTTTACTTGGTCAGTATGATATCCTGGGGATTTATTTTCTGTATTTTCCAGGGGTTCCTCCAGTTTTTAACATATGATGGGTCAGTAACTGAGCAGCCTGTGCTTATTCAATAGTTTCCCTGAGCATGAATATTGACACCCTCCAACTAAGGAGAAAGTGAAGGTCATATAGATGTCACCTACGGGCAATGAGAAGAATGGACAAGACTGTCACAGGATGGAACATTTAAACTGTCTCTATCAAATATTCAAATAAATATAAAATGTATTTGTCATGGTAAAACACATTACTTCAATGAAAGTCTAATTGTACCTTCTGCAAACAATCATAGAGGGAGGTGTTTTGGGATTCTTTGACTGGAGTGAAATTAGGAAATTTATTGTGGTAAATACATGTTTACCTTTTCGAGATGAAGATGGAGTCCAATAAAAAAAGACACACTCAGGGTTAAAAGAAACATCAATCTTTACTATCAACATAATTATTATGATAAAACCACCACATATGACGTGCCAACAGAATTCTGGCGTCTCAAGCACATCTTGAAGGTGTTGAGAAACATTTACAGGTTTACTCAACAAAGGCCAGATTCCTCTGGTCCAGATTTGCAAACAAACATTGTGCACAAGATTTCTAAATGTCCAGATTTGATACAGCTGCATCCAAATGGACTTGAATGTTTCAGCCTGTTTGGATATAACCCAATGTTTTAAACCTGGAGAAAAAAGCTACAAATCTGAGAGTAAATTGTTAAAATCTGGACCCAAGTTTTATAAATGTGTATTATTTGTCCTATGGCAATTTAAGGGTGGTGGCTGGACAGCTCTTGCTAGCCAGCCACCACAATAAAGCATAAAAAAACAAAGACAAAAGTCCATGGAGGACAATATAAACCCAATATAGCTACCAAGAGGACATTTAGGATGGTGTATAAAAATAATGGGAATAAGAGAGGACTTGCCCCCCTCCTCCCCCCGCCCATCAGTTGAGTGGTTAATATTTACGATTGGGTAGCTAGGTAGCTATGTCTGCCTAATTGCTAGAGGCCTCATCCCAGTTGGATGGGACCTGTAAAAAAATCCTAGGGGGACCATGGTCCCCCTGCTCCATCTCTGGAAATTGGGTGACAGCATGTTAAATAATCAGAGATGTGAAAATGCCATGGTCTATCTTCCTATCTGAACCCCTAGACAACAGACACAGGTTCTGAAATAATAGAAGGAGAATAAATGTCTTTGTAGCGGTCACCGCGATAGTGTGAGAGATTTTCGCTGCCACAAGAGATGTCCTTTCTCCCCTGTAGTGAGAGGGAGGCTGTAGAGCAGAGCAGGAACAGCTCTTAGAAGAGCTAGAGATTATAATGCTCCAAAGAGCTGTCCCAAGAGATTATCTCTGGTATTGCTTTTCCCTACAAGCACGACACAAGGATCTGTGGTGAGGGTATATCAGGAACTGAAGGTTTAATGGGGCAATTTTCCCAACCAGGGCACCACCCAGGTGGACCTGGTTGGGCACAGGGACACAAGATCAACAAGGCAATAAAAACTGAGTTTTACATTCAGACACTCCCATACAGTGTGCACAATCCCTCCCTTCTGCTTGGGAGATAATTGAGTTTATTACTGTATCAACTCAATTATCTCCAAACGAAAAATGCAAGTATTTTACCCATTTTTGGAAACACCCCCAAAACAAATTTCCCGATAGCCCCAACATACCTAAAAATCATCCAGATCGGTTCAGGGGTTCAAAAGTTAGCTGGAGCTAACATTTCTGCCCGGCCACCCACGAGGCTACTGCCCAGAATAGTTCCATAAGTTCAGCTGGGTCGACCAGTCCATTGCAGGGGTAGGGAAACATATTACAATAACAAAAGAACTGTTTGTGCATATGATTCTCTCCCTCTTCTTCCTCCCACGCGGCTCCTGGTGGTTGCTGGGAGGAGTGACCGTGGCAGTTACTTCCTCCCAGCCTCTGACATCATCAGAGTGGGCCCGGTCGTGCGGCCCCGGCAATTATTCCGCACGGCCGGGGCTGCAACACTTGGCGGCAGGCACCCAGTCACAGGGATCCGCAGGGCGGCCGGGCCCCCTGGAGTGAAGGGCCCGGTCGCAGCTGCGACCCCTGTGACCACGGTATGGACCGCGCTGATCTTTATTGGTATTCATTTCTTGCTCCCGTTCTTCCTGTCTTCTGTGATCTTTTGCCCTCGGCTTGTTTAATGTTTATCTGCATTTCTGTATCCCTTTAACCTCGGCTATTCTTATTGATGCGGTTTGTACATTAGCCATTCTAAGGACCGGTATACAGAAAGTCATATTTTAGAGATTCAGTCAGTGCATTCTGGTTCCATCTGATCCTGACATTACAACAGGGACCCAATGGAACGAACAGATGTATCACAACACATAGCTGTTGCGGACCTGGCATCAGTCCCTGGGGTTGCCCGAACCAATATTGAGTTTTTGCGAACAGACCTGTACCCCCTGTTTGGGAACAGTACTTTTGCTTGGAACATCAACCATTCCTGGCTGTTAACCGCAGTTAAGGAGTAACTTAAGTGCTTTCCCTGCGTGGCCGCCATTTGTATAACTGAGCACACATGGTTCAATTTTGCCATTTTGTCTCCCGAACACTTGCGGTACTTGGTCATTGAGTGCGTGGAACTAATTTTGGCTACACATTCTTGCGAACCCCAGTCAAGATGGTACTGCTGCCTGTATACTTTCCAGACCAACTACACGAACCACGTTCGGGAGATATTATTTACCAACTGGGGGGAGCATTCGCTACCTAAGAGCAAGGTGAAGCATTCGTTGGTGTTCTTGCAGGAACTCCCAAACAAAGACTGGCCACTGCCCTGGATTCTCTTGAACTCTTTATGGGGCCTCACCTCGTGGCCGGCCGGTGAAATCTTTTCCTGAATAGCATTCTTGTTTCACCAAACCAATCTGATCGCTTTTCGGATATGTTGTGCACTCAGATACAGACTATTCAGGGATATAGGAATGGTGTAATGTTTTATTATGCTTTTGGTTGTTTTTTTTTGTGATATTTTCTGTATTCGTTGGATCTGAGAGATAAATTAATTATCATGTTTTCCCAGCTTAATTATCTTTCAGACACAGAGCCTCTTGGGTAAATTCCCTGTAAACTTGATCTGGAGATCCCATATGATTGGGGCTATGCATAAAAAGCTGTGTGTGGGCTAATAAAAATGAGTTGACTCCCAGAACTGTGTGTCGTCCAGTTAATGGGGGAATGGGCGCTTCCCTTCTAGCTCCATATGATTCCAGCAGAGATATTAATTATCAGCATTGCAGTTCCGCTACAATAGCCATTTGTGGTGGAAGAATGGGTGTTTTGGGTGATGACTCTCACCAGTTTTCATATATTAGGAATTTATTATTAAAAGTTAAGTTTTAACATTTACACATTAAGGTACGTTAAGTTTTCTACTGTACACTTATTGTTTCCTGCTACTAGTAGGGTATTACACTCTCTAGGATACTCTACCAATATCCTATTTCTCCTGTTCTTTTCATATTTTTGTACAGATTCAAACACATACCTACCACTGGCATACACACAACCCATGGGGCCCCGGTGCGAAAACTGATCCATGGGCCCCACTTACTCTGCACGGGCTGGGGCCACAACACATGGTGGCGGGCACCTGGTCACAAGGCTGTGACCCCTGCGACCATGGTATGTACGCCAGTGCATGCATAAACACATACACTTAAAGGACCACTACAGACACCCAGATCACATCAGCTCAATGAAGTTGTCTCGGTGCCAGGTCTCTCTAGTTTTAACCCTGCAGCTGAAAACATAGCAGTTTCTCATTGACAGCCGCTAGAGGAGCTTCTGCGATTCTCACTGAGAAAATCAAAAGTAATGCTTTCCTATGGGCGGGTTGAATGCGCACGTGGCAACGCATGCGTATTCAGAGCTGAGAGGCGGATCGGGGCAGAGAGATCCCCAGTGCCAAGGGAGTCCGGCGCTGGAGAAAGGTAAGTGCTTAAGACACACACACTCTCATGAACAGACGCATACACACTTGCTAACAGACACACACATTTACACACACCCAGTGACAGACATACATACACACTCACTGACAGACAGACACACTCACTAACAGACGCACACAAACACACTCAAACACTAACACACACTAACACTCACACACTCTAACACTAACACACTTTAACACACACTCACTCACACTCACACACGTTTAAAAAAACAAAACAAAAATCCCTACCTTTGGGATTCCCTGGGGTCTAGTGGTGTCACCCGGCAGGCAGGCTGGCGGGCGCTTGAGGGAGCACTTTCCCTGCCTGAGTGCTTCCTCTTCAGCTCCCTCATGCACCGCACTGATACCGGAGCAGGAAGATGACGTCATCTTCCGGCTCCGGTATCAGTGCGGTGCGCCAAGGAGCTGAAAAGGAAGCACTCCCTTGCATGCCCACCAGCCGGGTGCCACCAGGGCCAGCCTCAGGGGGCACTGAGGTGGCCGGCTCCTGGGCTCCCCCAGGAGAAGAGGCTGGCCCAGTGGGTACATACATGGGTTGCAGGGTGGCCGGGCCCCCTGGTGGGCTGGGCCCAGTCGCAGCCACGACGCCTGCGACCCCGGTATGTGCGCCACTAATACCTACACATAAATACACTGACACACACACAGATACACACTGGCACATACACATAGAGATATACACTAACATTCACAGATACACACACAGATACACATACCTACACATACACACAGATATAATTGTATGTGAGGGGTGCAGTGTGTGTGGGAGGAGTGCAATGTTTGTGAGGGGTGTAGTGTGTGTGTAGAGATTCAGTGTGCTTGTGTGAAGAGTGCAGTGTGTGTGAGGGGTGCAATGGAGTGGGTTGCACTGTGTGTCAAGGGTGCAGTGTGTGTGAGGGGTGCAGTGTGTGTGTGGGGGGGGTGCAATGTGTGTGTGAGGGGTGCAGTGTGCTGGTGTGTGAGGGGTGTGGTTTGTGTGTAGGGATGCAATGTGTGTGTGAGGGGTGTAATGGGTGTGTGTGGGGTGAAAAATAATATGTAATTATTTTAAGGAAATCAATAAATGAAAGTTTTATGTCCCATCTCATCCCTTCTTCTTCTTACCTTTTGCCAGGGAAGGGGTAGGACAAGCCTCACAAGTCCTGGTGGTCCGGTGGTAGCGAGTAAAGTGGATCTCCCCTGTCGGCCTAGTCCCATAGACATCGCGTTGGGGCCCCTATGCATGTGGTGCCCCTGGGCATCTGCCCAGTGTGCCCATGGGGCATATACTTTCACACACTGGCACACTCACAGATACACACACATATCTACACACACACAGATACACATACACACTGGCACACACACAAATTGCAATGTACGTATTGTTAATAACCTCCTTCCTTGCAGAACTCCCTCCTCCTGTGTGCTCTAAGCTGGGAGAAAGTGACAATCACGTTGCCAAAGGCCTGCAGCAACCGACCGAGTCCCCCGGTACGACCTCCATGTGGAGGGACCTGCTGGGAATTCTCCCAGTATCACTGCCACTGCAGGGGCCCGCTCAGGCTCTTATAGGGCTGCGGCACCCGACTGGCCAGTGTCTAACCATAATACCCATCGAGTGGCCCTTCGGCAAAGAGCCACCAGCTGAGTCCCCCAAGGCATGCAGGCCCCCGGCTAATCCTATTTGAGAGTCAAGCTCCTTTGTTGCTTACACCTATGCTGAGTTCCTTGTAGCAGACTTGTTCGCCTCTCTGTTCGGTTGTCCGGAAATCCTGAATGAGGATTTGTGTTCCCCTTTTTATACCCCCCCGAACACCGAACAACCCCTGGCTTGTTAACTTTAAAGGAGTAATTAACGCTTTAAGTAATTAAGTGCTTTCCCTGGGTGGCCCCCATTCGTATAACCAAACACACGTGCTCTAAGGAATTGCGGTCATTTTGTCTCCCAAACACAGTGTGTTGGTCGTCGAGCATGTAGAACTTCTTTTGGCTACGCAATCCAGTGAACCATGGGGGAAACTGTATCGCTGCCCATTCCGCTTCCAGGCGAGTTAGAAGAGCGCTGTTCAGGAGAAAGAAACTACCGACTGGGGGGAGCATTTGCTCCCTAAAAGCCAAGGTGTTTGCACAAGAACTCCCGAAAGTTGACCAGCCGTTGCCTAATTTCCTCTGGAACTGTTTTTGGCCATCATCTCGTGGCCGATCAGAACTTTACCCAAATGGTGATTCCATTCTACCAAATGGATCTTAGTGCTATTTGGACAACTTGGGCATGCAGATCTGGTCAATTCGGGTATATAAGACTTGTGGGGTTCCTGTGTAGTGTGACTGTATTTTTGGGGTGTTTTATGTATTTCATGTATGGTTCCCTGTAACTGAGAGATAATGGAGTTACCGGTCTTTAACTCAATTATCTCCCAGACAGGAATGGGGTTTGTGCTGTGTTGAATGGAAATCCAAGGCTGCGAGTCTGAGCATAAAAAGCAGAGTGTGGCTCAATAAACTTCAGTTGTACTCCCAGAGCTGTGTGTCATCCAGTTACTGGGGAGGAGGAGAGCTATTAACTTTACACCGCTTTGTTCCAGAGTTCCAGTTACCCTGGGGTAATCCAGTGGAGGAAAGTCCTGGTCAAAACTAGTGCTCCACTACATTCTTCTCCTCTTTTAAGAGAACTTTGGATTTGTCAGGTAGAGTCAGTTTTGCGGCTTACTCCTTGATGAGGATAAAACAGGGATCAAGGTCTGTGGCTGATTATGCCAAAGAGTTTAGGACCTTGGCATCATAGGTAGTTTAAAACAACAACTCCTTAGTAATGACCTTTCAGGAGGGCTTGGCTGATTTAATCTTAGATGAGATAGTTTCCAGAGAATTACCTACTTTACTGGATGATCTCATTGACTTTTGTATCATGGTAGATAACCACAAAAGGGAGATACACACCCATAGGGAGAGACAGAGAAGATTTTATATCTGTCCTGGTCCATGTTTGCCCTCCACTGAATTGTTTGCATTGCCACCACCACAATCACCAAAACCCATGCAACTGGGTGCTACCAAGTTAACGGAGGCTGAGAAAACCTACAGGAGAAAGGAGGGTTTATGCCTTTATTGTGGGAAAAAAATGACACCTAAGAAAGGTGAGATGCCGACCTTGGGTGTAATGACATTATCCCCTTCCACTTTAACAACCCGACTAATG